TATTCATTCTTTTTTTCTTTTTAAAGATTTTATTTATTTATTTGAGAGAGAGAGAATGAAAGATAGAGAGCACAAGAGGGAAGAGGGTCAGAGGGAGAAGCAGACTCCCCGCTGAGCAGGGAGCCCGACGCGGGACTCGATCCCGGGACTCCAGGATCATGACCTGAGCCGAAGGCAGTCGCTTAACCAACCGAGCCACCCAGGCGCCCGTTGTTTTATTCATTCTTGCAAAAAATGATGATCAGCGGTTCGCTGAGAGCTCAGATGATGGTTAGCATTTTTTAGCAATAAAGTATTTTTATTTAAGGTAGGCACATTGGTTTTTTTAGACATAATGCTATTTACTGCACGCTTCACAGACTACAGCATAGTGTGCACATAACTTTTATATACATTGGGAAACCAAAAAATTCTCAAGACTCGCTTTACTGCAGTGGTCCAGAACCACACCGACGGGATCTCGGAGGTGTGCCTGTGATGAGAATTTCTCTGTCATTGGCCTGTGGTCAATACACCCTACTGACAGTGGTCGATAAATGGGAAGGGGACCAAGAACTGGAAAGACAGATCTCCCCACTGAGAGAAGTAGGAAATCCTGTAAAAGCTCAGCTATTAACTGAGCACTGTCACTGCCCACATGGACCCGACTGGAACTGAGTCTGCAGTCGTCCGCGTGGGAATGCTTAGTTGGCGATGGTTTGTACTCACGTAGTGGACTGGCCGCTCCTCTTCCACTAAGCCTCTGCCCAAAGTCCACTGCACACCAAACGTTCCAGAAGGGCACCATGCAGACTGAGCAAAACAAGTGTACTGCACAGTTAACGTCTGAACAAAGTCAGGCCCAGTTTTAAATGGTTCCGGGACCTTTTCCAATGGTGAGGGGACACCTCTGGGCAGTTCTGAAGATAGTCTCCTTTACATCACAGAACAAAAAACATCAAACTTGGCACCACTGGATTTGACACTAAACTTCATTGTTGTTGTTGTTGAGTAGGTTTCAATGGAGAACACACATTTTTTCCCTTGAATGACGAAGCTGAAAAGGGGACCAAGGCACCCGAGGCTGTGGCCACCGTGGCTGGTGAGCTGCCCGAGCTCCTGGAGCCTGTCTTCCCCACGGAAGTGATGGAGTCATCGGCCAAAGCATGAGCATCTTCTGGACAGGGCTGTGGATTCGGCCACACCACCAGCATGAGACCCGCAGAACCCGTGTGTGTCCTCACGTTGGCTTTGCCCGACAACATCCCTAACCAATGTACTCTTTTTATTCTTGTGATTTCACTGTTTGGTAACATCGATATGTAGTATTTCTGCCCGAAATTACACCTGTGAGCTGTGTCTTCCAGACATCCCATTTCCATGGGGATTTCATTTGTGTACCAGCTCTCCTGTCCACTTGGGGGGCCACGACCTAGTAAAAGAGTCCAGTACCTCTGCTGCTGAGCGCACACTCAGCACAGCTGAATGAATACTGGTGCCCGAAAGCACAGGCACATTTTTGTGGCCAGCCTCATGCAGGAAGAAGTGTGAGAACTTCAGTTTTTTTAACAGCCAAACAGCTTCCTACTTCCTTACCCTTAATTCCCTTTTCCCTGATTCCCTCCTCTTTCTAAATTTTCATCTTTATTATATTACTTACATGCTTATGGGTGTCCTAAGATCCTTTTTGGAAAAAGGTAGTATAAATGAATAAACCCATCAGTAAATGGATACATATTCTTAAGGTAATTAACTGCTCAATTATTTATGGAACAGCATCTAATAGGGGACTAAAAACGATCTATCATACAGGCTGACGAAGTGCCTCTCTTATAAGCCAGTATCAGGGTTATAGAAGAAAAGTACCAGAAATAAATTTATTCAAACACATACCTATAGATATAATAATGTCCTACCACTTTATATATTTTAGCTTCTCTGTTTTAAAGTTACCACTTGCTTTCCCCCAGAATTATAAAAATTGTTATATACTGACCTGTAAGAGAGTTGGCTAAGTTGAGATTTCTGATATATTCTGTAAGTTTTTACTAAGTACACTGAGAACTTTTCCTTTTGAAGAGTACCCAGAGGGAAACTTAATGGCCTCATGGTAAAGCCAGGGCCTTATGCTCATAGCAGTGATTTGAAATTGGCTCAGTGGCACATTCTCTCACAGCCCAGGGCAGGAGGACTGGTTGGTATCTAAGTTGTGAGAACCATGTCTCAGTTTGTGGTTGCTACTGCCTGTCCTGGTGCTTAGCAACACATAATGGGGTACGAGAAACAGGAAAGAAAATTCATTTATGGTTTTGTTTTTTTTTTTTTTTTAAGAGAGAGAAAGGGAAAGAGAGTGTGGGGGGAGGGACAGAAGAAGAGGGAGAGAGAGACTCTCAAGCAGATATGGGGCTTGATCTCACGACCCTGAGATCATGACCTGAGCCAAAATCAAGAGTCAGACGCTTAACCGATGAGCCACCCAGGCGCCCCTGGAAAATTCATTTTAAAGGCAGGCGGGACATGACTGGGTGTTCACGTAGCCTTTGCACATGTCCACACACACACGGAACAGGGGAGATCATTGGAGAGTCTGCCCTGGAATCATAACATGAATTATAATTAAACGAATGGAACCAGAGCAAAAATATACAAACTAAGTCAGTAACAAAATTATATTAACCAAAGAGGTCACTTATTACCTCAACCAGGTCAGGGCTTTCATTTCAACACAGGGCACAGCCCATCCACCTTTTCCTCACTCGAGGACTGGGGTCACCAACGGAGAGGGAACATTCTAATTTCTCAAAGTGATGAACACAGTTTCTACTTCTATCTTCTCTCTCTCTCCACACATGTATGTTAATACGTCATCGGTATAAAACATGTAACATACACTATATAGAAATTATTATCTATAAAAGAAGTAAAAGAGACTACTCATACCCCATGTACATCAATGACGGTAGGACTGGGGAATGTTAGTGCCAGGAAGAAACTTCCAAACCAATCGAATCTGTTACATAAAGGCTGTTTGATGACCCTTCTAAGGTCAGTGATGACGACGGACAGCTGTCCCCTCTCCACAGAGTACTGCCAGATAAGCTGACGTCATTCCATGATGAAAGCAATTCAACACACACACAAAAATCATCCAGGATTCTGTAATATGGACTAGCATTCACCTAACCTACAACCTTACGGTGGTCTGGAAAGATAACGAACAACCATTTGTACCTACACTATTCCATTTCCAACACATCGTGTGTTAACAAAGAAGGTGAGGAAAGAGGAGTTGCTGGTGAGTGGCCAGAGCCACGCCACCCCTCCTTCTCACTCATTTACAATTTTTTTGTGCGAATAACTAAGAATGTACCCTGCAGATACGAGCCCTAGTCTTCCTGTGTCTTCCCGTTCTGGACTGTTTGCTGACAAGGGCACCCCAGCAGGGGCAAAACCTCCTCAAAACTGATTTGAAAAGGAATACTGCTGGCAGAACAAGGGGAGTAAAATCCTCTATCAGATACCTTTCTGTCAAACTAATTCTCAATACTTTGTGATCACCATGAAGTAAGAAAGCAACCTGGAAAAGGCAAGAACACTTTCGAACACCAGGTACTAAGTGTTGCCTGGCCCAGCGAACACATCTCACCAAGCAGTTACCTCCTCACCCTGGAAACGACAGTATTTTCATAAGTGCGTCATCCTGTTGACGTGTGTGATGAAATATGGAATGACGAGTCTGTGTGGGTCTTTATATTCCTAAGTGTATGTAAAACACGTTGCCAGCAGGCTCATGACAGACCCAGAAAGGAGAGCATGAAGAAACACGGGATAAAACTCCTCAGAATAAACCACAGTGCAGAGTACTAACAATTACTAAAATTATCGACTCTTAGGCAATTTTTTTTACTAAAGAGTGACCAGTTTGGGGAACTCAACCAAAACTGTCAATAACCACAGTGGACCTTTAGTGGGAAATTGTCAGTGCTTTTTAATAAGTGTGGCGAGGAGAGTTCAAATCACAGCCTAACAGAACTTGTTAAAGAGTTAATGCAGTCTGTAGTTAGTATATCATATAGCTGTATTATTCGATTAGGAAAATTACAGTTGGAAAACATTACATTTTAATTCCCCATGAGTAAACCGATAAGTAACTGTAAAATCATCACTGGAAGAACATGGAAACAGTCAAGCATAACAAACCTACGGAAGGATAATTATCTCCAAATTTAGGAAGTATACTGATTTACCTGCCTACCCGCCTCTTCAAGCCTACGCTTAGCACACGTGCAAAAAGAAAACAGAACTGCCGTTATTACTATCATTTTCTTTTGCCCTTAGGTGAGAAACACCTGACAGCTACATGCTGAGCCACGCTAACAAAACTAAACCTTTCACTTTCTTTAATAGTAAAATTACCATTACTGAATCATTGTCATAAAAAAATGCATTCAAGTACATTACCACTTATTTTAAATCAACACCAATTTGGAAACAATCAACTTGGAAAAAGCTGTGTAAGTTTTTTTTTTTTTAAATCCCTGATTACATTTCTATTTATTCACTGTGGTAGACTGAAACACTGTATTTTTAGAGACTAACTACCACTTAATTTCTTTAAGAAAAAACACACACACAACAAACCTGTGTAATGTAGAACAGCAGTGAAGCAAGAAAACTGTGTGCTTGTCACTTCTTGTCACTGTACAGAAGAATCGCGATAAACTACGGTACTGTTGCTACTCAGTACGGGAGAAAACACAACAAGCTCGGAGCACAGAGCACATGTTTTTACTAAGATAATACTCTATGAAACCCAAGGTTGGGACTTTCCCCTCCATTCTGCATTTGGACCACCAGCGCATTCCCACTGGAGTCCTTGGGAGGCTTTGGACACAGTCAATGATGCACACTCCCCGTTCCACAGCTGACAAAGCGTGCAATTAGCCTGGACTCTGGGAGGGCTGGTTTGATGTCTGCAGCTCCTGAATTTGAAGTTCAGCTCGGTATATCCTAGAGGGATCTGTACGCCACAGTGCCTCACCATTTCCACACTATTGTAGTTTCTCTCTCCAACGAAGATCAGACCTAAAACAGAAGCTGCTGTGGCGGGGGGGGGTGGTTCTTAAATCACCTTAAGTTGGTCAGTTCTGTTTATCCACTTATTCACAATGCTGCAAACTTTCAGCATTACACTTGATGAGTGGTATGCATGTTACCTAAAAAGATAGACATCTGAATTTTCTGTAACCTTCTAAAAGAAGTCACAATACAGTAATTCGAGAAAAAACATCTTATCCCTAGGAAGAAAAACAAAACCTACATAGGATGTGTATTTTGCTGAACTTACTTATGTTTATAGGCAAATTACTTACAAAAGTGACACCAGAAAAGAGCCTGCATTCTGAGTACAGTGACAAGAACAGAATGTCTATGGCGCCTGCCAATACGCCAGAACTGATCGCGTACTCGTCGGAAAGGGCTTGTACACCTGTCAGCCTTCCAGTGTACGGATCAGCAGTGGGAGCTGTGTGTGTCTCTCATTTTTTCAATGCCGTCTTCTTTGTGTTCTGGTTTAATTTCATCTTCGCCATCCTTGCATTGAGTGGAATCTTTTTCAGTGACCTGGTCTTTGGTTTGGGGTTTGTGTGTGGAAACAGGATCTAAAACTACAACGGGTCCAGCTTGTTGCTCACGGCCAAAGCACTCGCTCCTGCATCCGGCGTTACTGAGAGGCCTGGAGGAAGAACAGTTACACAAAACAATAAAAAGCAGAGACAGAAAATATTTGGCTTTCATATTCCTGGATTCAGACCAACAAAAAAACCCCAAATGCTCTAAGTCTAATTAACATGCACAAAGTGGTCTTTGAGGTGCCAGCCATTAAAAGAAAAAGGAGCTATTAGATGACATTAGGAGCACGAGGCCAGAAGAAAGAAGGCGGAAAAAGTCAGAGCAATTAGCTATGGAAGTGTTAAAAAGCCAAATGCACCTACCTGCTTAATTACACACTCTTCTCAAGAAGTGCAAAGCTCCTGGGTGCCGCGTGCGGGCCTCCCCACTGCCTGCCGCCCAGACTCCTGTCCCACCTTCACTTAGCCAGAAGGAGCCATTTAACCGCCACCCCCACCCCACCTCCGCCTGTCCCTGGGGACATCTGAGGAGACCGCACTGCTGAGGGAAGCAAGCCACCTCCCATCACGGACGGCCAGCTGCGAGACGCACCCGCTCCTGCCATTACTGACAAGAAGAAAGCTGGTCCGACCGGGGAGGGGGTGAGGGAGGAGCTAGGGCAGACGGAAGAATCCAGAGAATAAGCTAAAACGCTGAGTGACCGTAAACTTTTTCTAAAACGGAGATTCACGTTTCTTGAGAACTTTCTTAAGGAATTTCAGAAGCAGTTTCTTTCTCCACGGATACCCCCTTTCTTTCTTTCTATTCTGATGCAAGAAGATACTGCTTCTCAAGCTACATGACAGTTTCCTTGTAAAACACAGAGATGTCCATGTGTTCTCTTGCCATGTGTCAGGAAATTAGGCTGCTGGCACCTACTCCTCTCAGGAGTCCCGGTCAGAGGCCACCATCTGAAGGTACTGGGCTACTGACCTGGGGCCTGAAGATTGAGGGGTGTCCTGAAGCAGGACCAGGGCTCTTCAGATGCATCTGGTCTTCTTGGCAAATGCTAAAATGTTAAGCACGAACCAGCACACCCCCGTCCCACCTCTGGACATCAGGACATGTAGTGGGGAGCCCACTGCTCGACCCACCCCCTGCAGTTGATGCTACTGTTCCCTGACCCCTGGAGCAGGCCAGAACCGCCAGTCTGACACTCCCTTACCACCTGCTCTTTCTCCCTTCTTGGACTCAGCAGTCATTAAGGAATACCGTGTAATTAGCTGTTTAACGTCTGTCTCTTCAAATAAAAGGTCAGCATCCACGAAACAGGGCCTGTTTAGCTCTGTTCACACTTCGACCCCAGCACCTAGCACGGATCCACTTGTGGCATAAATGAGTGGATACTAATCAAGTGTGAGAGGCTCAGAAACCCAGGCTTTGGTGTGAATAGGTCTGGAGGTCTCTCTTATGAGACAAAACAGCAGAACAAATGTTCATCCACTGAGAAGAAGCAGCCTGCAGGATCCAGCCGCAGGTACCAAACACTCAAACCCCACCCACGACCAGGGTCTTCTCACTTTCTGATCAGCACTATGAAATCTGTCCAAAAGCCTAGAAACTACTCCCTCTGGCTGCCTGGTTATACTGTCACTTGTTGGTGATGAGCAGGTCACAAACGCACAGCTGTCTTCTGTGGCAGTGGTGAAAGTGCTGGGACGGCCAGGAGCCCGAGAGGGAGGCCGGATCCATGCTCTGGGAATCAATAGGGGATGCGGGTTCCCCAGTGGTACCTGGTTTGGCCTTCTCGGACCCAGGCAACACCCGGAAGACAGTGTCCACTAGGGTACAGGCAGAGGAGCAGAACCACTGTGAGAGAGACATGGGCTCTACGATCGGAATTAGTCATCAGGCAAGGGAGAGAGCTAATGAGGCAGTCAGGGAAGTCAGTGGCCTCTGCGTCAGAGGCTGGGCCTGAAGTCCACAGTTCTGGCAAGGAACAGGAAGATGGGCGAGAAGTGGCAAGAGATCGAAGACAAATCAGAGGTGCATCTGTCCTTCCCAGTCTCCAACCCCCACGATGCAGACAACCTGCAGGACACACTGGAGCCCCTCACAGGGAACTGCACACGTACCTGGTCTAAAATTTGGAAAAGCTGGAGTAGTTGGGGGGATCTGGGAAGACTGTGGGCCAACTAGGTGATACCGCCCATGAACCGTAGCAGCACCTGCCCTACGTGGACCTTCCAAGCCTTTAGAACAAAACAAAACAGAAATGACCACTATGTCACTTCTACCTTCTAAATCTCATGTAAAGTTCTCTTGTGGTCAACCCTAACCTGGAAACAAAGGGGCAAGGGGATTTTAGGAAATGAAGCGCCAGCCTAGTGAGTTGTTCCAGTCAAAGCCACAACCAGTGGCGGTTACCAGTCCGCCTCTACCATCTTGTGGTGGAGCCCACCGCTAACTAAGTCAGCTGGTCTGCTCTAAGCACGCAAAGGAAGCTTCACCTCATTCAAGATGAGCAACTTCCATCAACCGATACTGACCTTCATCCCTTCTGCAGAACTACCACGGATGTTTTCATGCCCGTGTGTGTCTGCAAGTGAAGGGGGGATGAACATATCCTAAAAAAGCTTTCTGCCTCAGCTGGAGGTGAAAACTTCCAGGAGATGTTCTCAGGGCACAGGTACAAAAAGACAACTGGATATTGACTGAACTGAAAACTCAGAAACCTTGTGTGGTCAGGATGAAATTGGCCTCAAATTGTCTCTGTCCAGAGAATTGTTCTTTCCTGAAGTAAGTTTCTCAACTGCAGATTAATCTATCATTAAGTCACCCATAGGCTACAATTTGAGAACTCCTTTGTTGATTATTGCTGAACTTGGCACGGTGGGCACTTTCTCTGAATCTCTGTGCTGAGAGTAAGAGTAACCGATTTCTCCAGGATAACAAACACTGACTTGGAATCCCAAAGGGTTAAGGCTAAAAGGGGCTATAGCAATCTTCGAGTCCAACTGGTCCTTTAACAGATGAGAAAAATGGGGTTTGGAGGGGAGAACCTGGCCTAGATCATGCAGCTCATCAGTGGCAGAATCAGAACAAGAATTAGGAGCCATCTCCTAATTCTTACCCAAAGTGGCTTCTTCTAGAAACAGGATAATGATGCCACAGGTTAATTTTGGCACGTTTGCTGATTTAGGTCTTTCTGAATCTGGTTTTCAGATGCATCTTTCAGAGTCTGTCCCTTCAAGCTATCCCTTGCCCTTTTTCCCTCTGTGATTGGTAACTCCTCTGGATTTGACACATTAGGGCCTATTCCTGGTTCCCATGGGGAGCTGCCCCGGGCTCCTTCTGGAACGAGAGACCTTCCTCTGCAGGCTCACTCTTGCTCCATCCCTATCTCACGGGAAGGGCCAGAGAGTGCCATCAGTGATGGTGCCAAGAACCTTGCTTTGGGGAGCCATAGTGGTAGATTCTAGCAGGTTAAAGCTTCTCCCCCAACGTAAAGTCCCAGGTGCTCAAATGCAACAATTCAATAGGAATTACAGTAGACTATCATTCTGTTCCATTTTTCTGCTTTAATTCTTCATCTAAGGGCAGTGACCACAAATAAGGAATTAATATTTAGTACTCATGAAGAGTATAGCAGATCTTCTCCTGTATGCTACAAAATCTCCAAGTAAAACTTAAATGTCATAGGTGTTACATAAAGTAAGACTAAACTCATGTGTTATTCAGGTTGAAAGGCATTACGGACATGAACTAGTCCAACCTTTCCATCTGTCAGATGAAGACCCCAAAGAATAGTGAGTTAACTGATCTGCCCAAGGGCACAGACCTTGTTAAGAGCAGACACAGGACTAAAATCTTAGAGTCTGGATTTCCTGTTTTTTTTTTTTTTTTTCTCTTATCACAACATACTGGTAGTCATTTATGATCCATTCAAAATATTTTCATAGATCATTTTAGACGGTTTGCTCAAGAGCTATTTCAAGACAAAAAGAAAAACCAAAAAGCAAAATAAAAGCTAAGAGACAACGCAGCGATCTGTGCCACTTTAGGAAGCCAGATGGGTGCCCTTTTAGAAAGCAGCTACTCTTCCCCAGCTGCAAGGGAGCGGAATGTGGGGCTGGGGCATGTGGGGCCACTTGCCAGTTGGAGGAAGGACCTGACTCCAAAGAACAGGGGTACCAGAAGCTCCCGAACAATTGTAAACAGCACTGCCAAAGCCGAACTTTCAGAAAGGGACTCCGTGATTTCTCAGACTATGTTACAAGAGACGGAAGAGCAGCATTCTAATTTTTGAAAAAGCACATCATTGTTTGCATTCAATGAAACTCCTTTCAAAATCAACTTTCCACATTCCAATTATATTCAACAACATTCTAGCTAACATTTCGGCTGCAATTCAAATTAACTAATGCCCAAAAGAGCCCTAATAGACGTGGTTCTGAGCTCAATTGAATACAATCAAAGCTCATGAAATGAAGGGGGAAATGCTTATTTCATGCAAATTCTGCATATCACTCAAGCTTAATTTTACTGATAATATAAAGGTGGGACATTTTGAACATTACAGTGAATGAAACTTTTAAGCGGTGAGAGTTATTTTATAAAATGCTACCTCTAAAAAGCTGATTGCCAAACAGTATAAAAATGGTTTGAGGCATAAATGCCAAGTTCATTTCTACTTCACTTCTGAGGTAACTATCTTTCAAATCGCAACAGCTGGACTATTTAACACAATCTGGTGAATCAAAGTATAGTTCTTCTCCGGTCTCCCAGTGGGACGTCTGCATTAGTCAGTGGCAGCCATCCAGCAAATGACGCACAGCCGGACGGTCTGAACTCTGTTTCATTTACCATAAAAATGAATAAAGCCGCAATCATATTTACCACCTCCAAGGACAGAAAACGGAAAGATTTAAATTCGTCTTTATAAAATAGTTTCCTGGGAAAACTCCAAAGAGGAAGTCAGTTTTTATATTTTTCCCCCTGGTGTAAAAATAAGTCTGACTTTGTTTTCGAAGCCCTTTATGCAGTTGCTAGAGAGCAGCTCTATAGCAGAGGTGGTATTCATTGTTTCCCTCAGACACCCTCTTTTTCGGGAGATTTTAATGC